AGTCCTATAATATGCTTAGTTGGCCTTGTCTGGCGTTTTGGAAGATACTTCATCATGATGGGACTCCTCGAATCCCAGAACAAGAAGGACATAAACTTTTCAGCTGATGGGAAAGTCGCGATATCGTGGATTCATTGGATCATCTCTGGTGTTGCTGATTTGACAGACCTTCCAGGATTGGGGTCGTCTTCAAGACTCTCATTTCCCGCTTCTTTATGGTGGCAGAGGAAAGGGCATACTTCTCTAGTGTTGTACTCGCATCTTCATGGATGGATGTTGGTATGACGTGCCTTTTCTGCAAATACTTGATCACTGAAAGTTTATCAAGAGCCTTGTTTATTTCACTGACTTGTCACAGCATAATGATTTGCAAAGTTATGTGGATATAACTCTAGATCATCATGTAAGGCCAACAACCAAGGATGGCACTATTACGCAAATCCGTCTATGTGAAACTTAGAACTTATCAGTCAACCCTCGTATTCCCACACCACACAGTTGCCTTTGATCAGCTAACTAAGACGAGCGCTTTGAAGGAATCCCTTATCAAAGGCTAAAATGACCAGTTTCTTTACCACCATGACCACGAAAGGTAAACAATGTTATTTACCACCTATTTCTTGCCCAATGTGAATATCAATAAAAAATATTGTTTTAAGGGAACACCAAGTTTGAAACTACAAGCTTACACAGGACTTTGTGTATTGTGTTTAATGTTAAATTTATGTGTTGCACCGAGTTGTCCATTCTTGAATCTCATTAAAATAAGATATTTTACTCAGATTAGATACCTGAACGAGTGAGTGAGTGAGTGAGGTGGGTTTAATGCCGCTTTAAACAGTATTACAGTCATATCGCAGCATGTAAGCTTAATGTGGGAGGAGTGAGTAAGTGAGTGAGTGAGTGAGTATGGTTTTACGCCGCTTTTAGCAATATTCCATTAATATCACGGCGGGGGACACCAGAAATGGGCTTCACACATTGTACCCATGTCGGGAATCGAACCCGGGTCTTCGGTGTGACGAGCGAACGCTTTTACCACTAGGCTACCCGACCACCCCCCTAATGTGGGAGGAAAGCCCGAAGTGACACAGGTCTCAGACGTTTACCACTTCGGTGAAACCCACGAGCACGTTATGGTGCTGACAAACCTAGAAACATAAACGGGGCAAACCGGGATTCGACCCAACAATCATAAGTTTTTGGCGAATCGCGGCGCCTTAGACGACTGGACGACTCGTGCCACACACCCCCTCCCCCCATTGTAATATTACACCAGGTTATACAGTTGATCATTCTGTTATTCAAATGTTCTCAGTAAAATTAAGGGTTGAGGATATTGGAAATCCAACACATCCTTATTATACAAAGAGGAATACGTGAAGCAAGTTAGAGATTTATTACACAAACGTTTAATATGCACAGGATAAAAATTACATTGAAATAATAAATGATTCGGAATGGGAATTAATGGTAAGTCATTCTTTGTTTTTGGAGACTTTTTTCATTATTATTTATATATACTGAACCGCAAAAGAAACGTCACCCTGGATAGATATATGAGAAACGGTTTTGTTACCATATTTGTCCAAACTCTGTAAACATACTTTGAGACATATTAAAGATGAAACTTGGCAAAACTGATCATCAAGGTTGAAACTAAAGTGTCAAATGTTAAAGTGAAACACAACACTAGTCTCTGAGAAAATGGCATTACAAGTCGTGTATCTCGTGTGTCCGCCATGTGCATTAATGACTGTCGTGCAACGTCGATACATGGAATGGATGAGGCGGTTAATGAAGGCACTTGAGCCCACACTCTGAGGAACGCCTGACGCAGTTCAGCTGCAGTTGTCGGCCTTGGTCGGACGTCAATCAGCCGTCTGTGAATCTCGTCCCACAGGTGCTCAATTGGATTTAAATCGGGACTGAAGACAGGCCACTGCATGGTTTCGATGCCATTCTGCTGGAGGAAGTTTCTTGTTGCTCTCGCAGTGTGGGCACGGGCGTTATGATGCTGAAACTCGTGGTTGCGGCGACGTGCCAAATGAGGTATGGCGTGTGGTCTCAAGACTTGATCAATGTACCGAGCTGCTGTGACACCATTGCCTCTCCCTGGACCAATGTTCTGGAAGACCACAGGGCCGACCCTCTGAGCAAGACCAATTCCACCCCACACCATGATGCTCGGACCACCCCATGAGTCTCTCTCAACAGCACAAGCATCTGAATAACGTTTCCCACGGCGTCGCCAGACTCTCTGCCATCTGCCGTTGAGATACAGTAACGGCTCTCGTCTGAGAAGAGGACTCCACTGCTAGTGGCGCCAATGCTGGTGCTGTTTTGCCCACTGAAGACAGTCCCGGCGATGACGTGGGATCAGAATGGGTCCTCGGTGAGGCCTGTGACAGTGTAGGTGTCTGCTCGTCAATCGTCGACACAACGGTGTCCGCACTAATGTGTCGCTGGTGTGTCCCCATGGTCTGTCGAGCAGTTTCCGCAGCAATAACAAAGCGATCTTGAAGATGCTGTCGCACAATCTGACGATCCTGACGTCGGATGGTGACCCTTGGTCTTCTGTAGTGTTGATGGTCTGGTACCGTTGCTGGAGCCTTTATATGGTCCTTAAGTGGACTTGAAATGCATTGGCTATTTGCCGGGCGGTTTGTCCAGCTTGCAAACGTCCAAGGGCTTGGTGTCGCTGGTTTCTTGTCAATCTTGGCATGTGGTAGCAATTCAATAACGAATGAATGTTATCCAATCTGGGTGGATTTTTATAGGGCAAGAAATGGGGAAACACAAGTGCATTTCAATTTGCACGGAACTCACGTGCATCGGGTTACCATGGCCGTTGCCGTGATGCGTTTGGGCGATCGTTTTTATTGTCATCTGCTAATAAAATGTTAAATTTTAGAAACTTTGACAAAAATTACCCAGATATTTAAATGACAACTTTTCATGCAATGTTACTTGGGGTGAGATTTCTTTTGTTGTTTAGTAAATTATACATTTATATACAGCAGGTATCCAGGTACAAGTATCTGCTCAAATGTGGTTTTATTTGCTCCCCGACCAGTGGAGTCCAGTTATCATTCTCAAATCCCTGGGGAGTATACAACCCAAGGTGACACTTGTGTTTCGGGTGTATGTAGGTATTCTTGTTTTCACCATCTGGTCGTCTACCATCTGACGAGTGGGTTCTTTTGAATGCACAGGATGTATGTACTATACACTTGGGGTAGTGACAACATTGTAAATACCTGTAAACATTGTTGGTCCCAAGGCTGAATAACAACCCAGTTACAAGCGAGATACGATCTCAACACCTGGCGCTTGCTAGCATGGCGTTTTTGACCGCTTGCCCACTCCGCCTCTTTGTAAAAAAGGCAAATCAATTTCTTTGGGTTCACTGAAACATACATTATCCACGGACGTATATATACGTCTTTGCATTATCACAAATGACACTTGACCCTTACATTTCTAGTTCAGGCGGGTAAATCAGTGAAAGGGAATTGGCTATTTGATGATTATTGAACAATATCAAATCATCGATATACATGAACTTTCTGGCCATATTCCCGTGTTTTGATTTTGCCAATTCGAGCAGAAACTCCGATTCATAACCATTTAGAAACAGATCAGAAACAGATAAATGCATTGTTCTCAAAATTTCGCATAGATGTTATTTTGAGGAAGTCCAGCATTTCTCATGATGTTTTCTCATTAAAATTCAGCTGACATTTGCTTTCATTTCTGACAAATTTTCCTTTATTCCTTGAAGATAGTGATGTAACCATACCCATGATCATTACGTTCGTGACAAATGCCCTATAGATCGGGGAATGACGGTTTTTCGAAACCAGTTACAGTATCAAAGTTATATATCGATTCAAGTATCAAACAAGAAGGTAGGACATTGAAACCACTATTTAACTATAGTTTCAAGTCAAAAGCACAACTTCCGATTCGTATGAATGAAAAAACTGAACAAGGAAGGGAGCATGGTATTCATGAAATATATTTGCATTTGATATTGCATAAACTATTTCATCATAGACACATCACCTAAACGGTTTTATTGGTTGAACGTAGTCTAGTGAAGTATCCCAGACCCTCTGATAACGACAGAATGCTCTCTGATGAAAATGATTTCGTGCATGCATGTAATTATGGATTAAACTGACACTCATCAAACGGTAAATATGAACTTTCCTTTTTCAACACTAAGCAACAAAATAGAATAAATACAATCTAAGCGACTGTGGTGTTGATTGTGAAACACCACCCGTAAACATGTCAACATAACATACAAACATTAAGATAAAACTGAACTTCTGTAGGATGAACGACCGGGTTACCCAAAACGTATTTCCTCATCATGCTTGACACCCTAGAGACAAAGGGACCAGTCATGTAATATTCTGTTAATATTCTGTTTGTATTCTATGTGGAGGGGCGTGGGATATCTGCTCAAAGAAATACATATTCTTCCTCTGACATGGGGATTCAAACAATCTTCTTTGGACACCGCAACAAATTATGTTAATATTAAGACAATCCAGCATGTCCAGTGGATGATTTATTCATTTATTTGGACATTCTTGTTAATTCATACGTCCTGCATGGAAACTTCCTGACCTGAACAAATATTTTCTCATATGACTGCCTTCCATTCTTTAAGTGTTCGAGCTGTGGAGGGCCCCCCTCAAATAGTTTGGTACCCTGAAAATGCTGAAACAAAGTGATTGGTATGATGAAACCAAAAGGTTGAATACCTATGCAAAAACCAAACTCGAAGTCATGATTAAACATTGCTATTCTCTTGCATTGACGATTATATCTAATTAAAAATAGGAGTGGAAGGGTCATGACAAACGAGATGGTAATTTGAACAAGACTATAACAATGTATATTTCAGGTCGCCTGGTCATTATTGATGTCAAGAGGAGAGGGCGGTCTTTCCATTGGCCATCCACTTATTTCAGCAATCTCTAGAGATGATGGACAACACTAGTTTCCATGACGACCATGACGCTTACCTTCGTGACTATGACGACCGTTACGCAGAACAGACTCTTCCTGTGATCTTATTTCTTACCATTCTGACGCTGGTAGGCTTCGTGGGGAACTCGCTCGTCTGTTATGTGTATATTGTGAAGTTTAAACCAAGTCCAACCAACAGTTATATAATAGCCCTGGCAATATTTGATTTCGTCAACTGTAGCATATGCATACCTCATGAAATAGCTGACATGAGATACAGTTACACGTTTGCACAATATGGCTTCTGCAAGGTAATTAGACTAGTCATGGGATTTGTATCGTATGCATCAGGGGCCATAATCCTAACTATAGCAGTGGATAGATATCGGAAAATTTGCCGACCTTTTCAAAGACAGGCGACATGGCTCGTTGCCAAAGTAGCAATCACTGTGTGTTCAGTCATATCTTTGATTCTTGCATCGCCAATTGCTGCTGTGTTCGGTGAAAGGACACTGACCACAAACGATATCCACATCAACGGTTCAGATTGTTCTACAGCAGATGAATACAGCGTGACCGTATATCCCAGCATCTACAACGGTACTCAGTTCTTCCTATTTGTTGCTACAACCCTATGTCTTGTTGTCCTCTACAGCCTAATATGGAGACAGATTGTTAGGCAAGGGACATTCCTAAACAAGTTCAAAGCCAAGCAGACTATTCACTCAGGCCAACAGATACACACATCCATTGCTGCCTTTAGTGTCCAGCTTGATGCTCCTGAAGGTGTTTGTGCTGTATCTGTATCAGACTCGAAGCCGCCAACTGACGAACTGACGAACCAATACCAAGGAGGGTCTGATACAGAAGATGGAGTATGCTCATCGAAAAGGACGTCTACCGTTTTGGACTCATCTGCAGATGCCCGAGCAGCAAGGAAGCTGAGTACACGCTCATCCTCAAGAAAGGACAAACGGCCAGATAAGACACTGTTTATTTTGTGGTTGATCTCCTTTGTATTTGTACTGAGCTTTCTCCCCAATCTGTCTTTGATGGCGATCAGAGCAGTCCATAAGCAAATGTTTGTAGGCATTCAAGGAGCTGGATTGATAATCTACAATCTGTTCCTGAGGTCGCATTTTATCAACAGTGCCATCAATCCAATCATCTACGGCTTTTGGAATATGTATTTCCGACGGGAACTTATATTCCTGTGGAGAAAAGTAACACGTAGGCTATAGGAATAGCGACCGAGGCTACATTATACTTCACCGTCATTGGACATTGAAATGTACATTAGAACAAGATAGAGTTGGTGCTCCTTCTCAAACCGATCTCCTACTGTATGTTTTCCATCCATATTTAAAAAGGAACATCAAGAGCCGAGCAATCGATATTCTGAGGTATCTAAAAGCTTACGCTGGACATGCTCGATGTTCAGAGAAAGAAAATTGCATGACTTGAAAGGCTGATTGAAATAATAATATGTCTCAATCTCAATAAGTCTGTGACACATTTCAGCGTAAATCATACATGTTTTAAATTGAGCAAATTCAAATTCTGTTTTATGTGAGTTTAAAATTTAAAGTCGTATCGGGGTTATATACGTGTCCTGGCCTGAAAGCATCCTTAATGACTGCTATACGTTATCCTCTGTTCTTAAATAAAACAGATATAATACATTTAAGATTTGGGAAAGAAATGAATTTGCAACCACGTGATCACTACCATGTTTGAAAGTTGTATACTTGTGCGAAAAAGAAGCAAATTTATGATTTTCAAAGATAAGATGTTTCAGATACCCATCACCCGTATAATACGGGAACAAACTTAACAACTTTTTTTAATCAAGTTTTGAATCAAATCATGTGTTTTTAAAGTAAAACCATATAGAAGTGTTTTTTTCAATTTGAAATTGAAGAACCAGTTCTTGGTAGGGAGCAGTTGTTTAAGTTCCAAGCGGAAGACCCAGGACTCAAAATTCTTGCCAATAGGTTCTATTAGAAACCTACTCATCTGTCCTTGATTCGCATGCGTTAAGGCAGGTTTTTATGCGATCATAACTCCCGGTGCGTACACGCTCCAGTTGCTTGTAAAAATTGCCTATCGTCACTGTTGGAATAGCTGAGACCAGGGTGTTAATTCAAGCATTGTTATCGTTCACCGAGGTTTCTACATGCCATCCTCTTATTGTGAATATATAGCTTGGTGTAAGAATACTGCTTTTTGGCTAATGTACAGCAATACGGATTCATAACGTCAAATGAAACATGTGCTTCAACATTGCAAAAATTGCCTATCGTATGTTATCTCGCAGTCAATCATTAATGTATTAATGATTGACATTTATACCTAGTGCCTTACCTAGTGAACGTCTTTCAAGGTTGGTTCAGTCAGTGCATGATGATGTCATTGGTAGAATGTCAAAAAGAGGAAACAGAAATGGAACAAACCCATTCTGTTCCCACTGACCAGTAATTGTTCCCTCAAATAACATCATCATTATTTGTAAGCATCTCTAGTGTAAGATCAAATAATTCCACATATAAGGTCGGTGTGTTAACTGAGAAAGAAATCAGCCAAAACCATTAATCAGAACTATCAATTTTCTGCATGACTCTTAAACCTGTAGACATGTCCATTCCTCTTTCGTACTGGATTTTAAAGCTCCATAAAAATCCATACAAAGAGAGGTATATTGCTGGGTCCAGAAAATGTACCACCAAAGCCCTGTCTCAAAGATTAACCATAATCCTTAATACTATCAAAGGAGGACTGTCTTAATAATCACAGAAAGTATTTTAGATAAGTGGAACTAAAACAATGTGGATTCTCCAAAACTCGAAACATTGGATTTTTTAACTTTGTACACCACTATCGCACTTGGCAAACTTAAGGAAAAACTTCCTTCCCATTGGGTTTTTGTTACAAAACGTGGTGACTATAGATATAGTTATATCTCGATCTTCAGAGGTTGAGGTCAATATTTCAAAAATAATAGCAAATGTCATCTGGAGTTTACAGAGAATACAATATTTGAAGTGATGGACTTCCTCATTGGTAACATTCCTGTAAAATGTGGGGGAACCAATTGCGCTCCCCTTCTTGCTGATCTATTTCTTTGTGCATATGGGGGGCACGGGTGGCCCAGTCGTCTAAGGCGCCGCGATTCGCTGTGCAGAGTTGCGTCCCTTGGGCACGCCAGAAACCTATGATTGTGGGTTCGAATCCCGGTTCGCCCCAATTATGTTTCTAGGTTTGTCAGCACCATACCCGTGCTCGTGGGTTTCACCGAAGTGGTAAACGTCTGAGACCTGCATCACTTCGGGCTTTCCTCCCACATTAAGCTGACACGCCGTGATATAACTGGAATACTGTTAAAAGCGGCGTTAAACCCAACTCACTCACTTTGTGCATATGAATCAGAATTTCTGCTCGTATTAGTGAAGTCAAACTTTGCCAAGAAGTCTTACAACAGCTTCAGGTATATTGATGATCTGATATCATTCAAATAAGATTGTATTACAAGAGGGATGACTTCAACATTCCACTAGTCATCTTTCCCTTTATGTCGAGCACTATTCCTGCAACTCCAGCCTGTGGTTACCACATTTCACAACGTTTGAGGTTCAATCGAGCGTCATACAACTTTTGCTCAGAAGTTGTTTGATCATGATTACAGCATCATGTGTTCCCGTGGTTTTTTTAGGTGAACAGTTTACTTCCTTGTGCATGTGTTTGTAGCGAGGGCTACCGGTGGGGCAGAATATGCTCTTCGCGAACCTGGTATGATCACTATTTGATAGTGATTCATAAACACATGCTCACGATAAAGTCGGAATCATACAATCGACTCTGTTTTGGGCATCGATTTCTTATGAATACGGAAAGGTTTTTTTCCTTTTATTATACATTTGGTGAATTTCATACGTCCATAATTTAAAAAGATATTTGTAACTTTCATGTGAAGAAAGGTTTTGTTTTACACTGTATGTATACTAGTCTATGGCTGTGTACATTTGCATATGTTTAAGCCCGTTTGTATTGTAGTTGTACCTAAAGTTAGACTCACAAAAACTATCTGTCTGTTTGTCTGCCAAACTTATCAAAATTGCAAAAAATGCAAATGAAAAATAGTAACAGATTTTTCTTACATTATTTTGTAGCCAGTATGGTATACAATATGATGACCCAGCAAAACGTGTGTAAACGCAATTAGATGTATTTGTAACAACCCGAACGAATCTTAAAAGCGCTAACGAAGGGGCGTGGCTAAATTAACATGCCTACAAGCTGATTGGGCATAACGACCAGCCTGGTACAATCCGTGCTGTTCTAAATATAGGCATCGATTGATCTTTGTAGGTAGTGCTATTTACCCAGAACTGATTTATCTCAACTACTCTCACTCATCTCACAGCGACATGCAACTTCAGTAGATTATTGCAATATGTATGCCAGCAGTCAGCCCAGGTATCATTAAACACTCAGCCATGTGTATAGTGCAATGTAACATGTTAGCAAGTGACACAGATTCACAGACTCTGTGACATGTCGCTTCATCTTTGTATTGCTATTTCAAGACAGCAACGGGATGTTGTAATTTGGAGAAAATAAACTAAACAAATGAACCAATCTGTGTTTTGTAATCACTTGTAATCCGCGCATCAATGGTGGGGATCATCCTGGTTATCTTCGTCACTACTGTCGGTCACAGGTTCAAACATGTAGCAGTTCACTGGTACTTCTTCTTCAGAAATCACCAACTCATCTTCCGAGAAACATTCACATTCATTAATAACTCGTAAGCTAGTGTCACTGACAGTGACTGAGTGAGTGAGTTGGGTTTTTAACAGTATTCCAGTTCTATTGCGGCGTGTCAGCTTAATGTGGGAGGAAAGCCCGAAGTGATGCAGGTCTCAGACGTCTACCACTTCGATGAAACCCACGAGCACGGTTATGGTGCTGACAAACATAGAAACATAATCGGGGCGAACCGGGATTCGAACGTCACTGACAGAGTCGCACATATCGGAAAGTATAGTGATCGATTTGAGCTGACGATATCGGAAAAAGGAACAATGCTTCATCATTGTAAACACCGATCAGCCAATTTAATTTTTTTTAAAAGAAGAAAAGTAAAATAAATGAGATGACTACCGTAACACAATTGAAGAAATAGCATGTTTCCTACACCTTTTTTTTCACGGAATATTAACCTCCATTTCCAATACAAAAGGCCCCCATTTACGCCCAATTGGTACCCTCACCACGTTACCCTATATGGAGTAGGGAGACGTTACCTGACAGGTCCAGATGTACAGTCCAGCTGGTGACAAATGAATCCCATCACGCAGGTACAGTTGCTGGTCTTGTCGGTTGAAGGCAGGGTGAGAAACCCGTATCCTAGACTAACATCTAGTCTCTGAAATGAACATATCGTACAGAAAAAAAACAGTTGTTCAATCATCTTAATAAAAATATAATAAAAGGGGGCCCAGAGACTCTCTTCATTTTCAGATACTGCAGTAATCTAGACTTGCCAAACATCATAGACTTGCATGGGCTGTATTTGATATATTTGTATCAGGGCCTGTAAGACAGACTACCCGTATCCCTCCAAGCTCGCGGGCCCTGTTCCCCACCCCTGTATTCAGCTTCTGCCCGGCCCCTAGTTGAGCTTCCAGGCGCAGGGGCAGCTGGCTGGGAGCCAGTACCTATGTGGCAGCATATCTGACCACTGAAGGACGCATCAGGGATGACCACATCAGCAACGTCTGCAAACTTGCACACTACAATATCAGAAATACTGGTCTCGTCAGGAAACACATCAACCCACGCGTGGCTGCATCTCTCATTCAGGCTTTCGTTATATCTCGACTAGATTACTGCAATGCTCTTCTGTATGGGTTGCCTAACTACTAGATCGCAAATATTCAGCGTGTTCGAAACGACTGGTAACCGTGCTAGAACGTACGACCATATTCCACCTGTACTAAAGAAACTACACTTAGCTCCCGATCGCAAAGCGCATCAAATTCAAAATACTTATGTTAGTATACAGAGTCCTTCATGACATCGGTCCTCCTTACATGGGTAAATTGAAAGCGCATGGAACTAAAAATTATTGTGTTAGTATACAGAGCCCTTCATGACATCGGTCCACCTTACATGGGTAAATTGAAAGCGCATGGAACTCAAAATACTTGTGTTAGTATACAGAATCCTTCATGACATCGGT